GCCCTAAGCACTAAACCAAACCCTAACCCCTAAGCCGTAAACCCTAAGCCCTAAACCCTAAACCCTAAGCCCGAAGCCCTAAACCCTAAACCCTAAGCCCTAAGCCCTAAGCCCTAAACTAAACCCTAAGCCCTAAACTAAACCCTAACCCCTAAGCCGTAAACCCTAAACCCTAAGCCCTGACCCCTAAGCCGTAAACTCTAAACCCTAAGCCCTGAGCCCTAAGCCCTAAACCCTAAGCCCTAAGCCCTGAGCCCTAAGCCGTAAACCCTAAACCCTAAGCCCTAAGCCCTGAGCCCTAAGCCCTAAGCCCTAAGCCGTAAGCCTTAAACTAAACCCTAAACCCTAAACCCTAAACCCACTCAATGCTCGCTGGCCTTCCGAGTCTCAACGGGTCCCTGGCCTCAAGAGTGAGCTTCCACTCCCGGTGTGTACTCTTTAGGGTACCCATAGGCCCCTAAAGTAGTTCCTTTTATGGTTTATATTTAGAATCCTATAAGGTAATCCCAAAAAGGAACTACTTAGGGGCCTGTGGGTAGCCACGACCCAACAGCTTTTGGGGCGCAAAAAAAAACCCAAATCCCCAAAAACCGAACCCTAAACCCCGGTGACTGCTTGAGGATCACGCGTGTTGCGGAAGTGGCGAAGATGCGCCTTCCGCAGGAACCGCGATAGGGTTTCTCAGGGGTTTTGGAAAGGTCTTTTGAGGGAGGGTTTCATGCAGGGTTTAGCGTTTAGGGCTTAGGGTTCTGGATTCAGACTAGGGCTTACGGTCGGGTTTTAGGGGATTTGAGGAGTTTGGGCCTTCTTCTCGAAGTCCGGGCCACATGGGATTAAGGCCACCGGGCTTGTTGGAGTGTAGTGTTCGGGTTTAGGAGTGGGGGTTACAGGTTTGGAGTCTGAATCAATCTGAAGGTTGTGTCTTGATTGAATGTAAACACGTGCGATTCTGCGGGATATTATTGTCGCACAGTCCCTCATCCCTTTGACTCGAAGCGGCGGTTAATTCTCCAAGCCGCAAGCCTTCAACCCTAAAGCCCGCAGTGTTTCCACTAAACCCAAGGCGTTACTGCATGCAAGCTCCGACTCATAAAGCCCGGACTATAGGATTCTTCTCGCTTACGCATGGTATGTATGTAACATAGAAGGCTGAATACTTTTTGATACGAAGCTATTCTTGAAGATTCCTTATTGTGCTTACATACTTCTTTTCGTACCTCAAACCTCAGATCCAATTGAGCAGGCCCGTATTTAATTCTGATACCATGACTATAATTGCCATGAGGACAAAGGTCCCTGAGCAATAGCCTTTATCAGCCCAACACGTTGTAAACACTCAACTTCCCAAAGCCCGGAGCCATGGCTTCTTCCCAGAGTCCTCACCCCTAAAATGCCTAGACCCTTATAACCTCAGCCTTAAACTCCTAACCGAAACCCTGAGCCTTAACTATAAATCCTTCAATAGGCCGTATTCCGTCCTTGTTACGGGTATTAAGGCCCCCTACCGCCCTCCCCTCGCCTTATGGGAAAGGAAGTCCTTGGTGTCGCGCCTTCGCTGCAAATCGTTCCTCGGAGCCGTGCCGAAGCGATCTGGAGGAGCTTCCTTTTCATTTAGGGTTCCTCTCAAGGTTACGGGCTTAATCCGGGTACCCCAAATTTCTACAGGGTTTGGGGGGTGGGGGCGCGGCGGGGGTGGGGCCGGATTTTGTGAGTGGTGTAAGGGCGCAGATCAGTGTTCGTGATGTGCGTTTTTTTGTGAGGGCGGGGGGGGGGAGGAGAGGTGTTTAGGGCTTTTGAGTTGAGGGAGCCGCCGGCTTACAGCTTGCAGGGTGTCGGCTTTGAGGTCTACGGCCGGTCGGATGTATCCTTGGCATCGCACTCTGCTTGACATCAAAGATGCGGTTTAGGGTTTAGTATTTAGGGATGCAATTCATGACCTCATGACCCGGTTACCGTCAGTCGTGCTAAACCCGACACCAAAGACGGCGAACATCCGCGAACCTTCACATTTGAAGTACTTCGGAAAGGAGAGCCCCACAAGCCAACGCCATGTTCACGGAGCTCCCGCCGGAAGTGTTGCAAAGCGAGCCACGCGCCTGCGACCACCGATATCCACCCCCCCACCGGGACCCACCAATTCCCCCTTAATAGAGCCTTTATGGTCCTGAATAGTGAGTTGAACCTCCTTGAACCCAGGGATTTAATTTGTAAGTTTCCGGCTTGGCGCAGCACAGGGTCTAGGATTTCCACAGCGCATTTGGGAGGGTTTAGGGGTAACCAGGGCTTGCCGGTGGCTTTCAGCGAGGTTTATGAGTCAAGCACAAGAGGGAAGCCTGAAAAGTTCGGGCTTTCGGGCTGCAGGTAATCTAGAAGCGTGAATAGTTACCAAACTTCCTGTTAGGGTTCCTTATTAGGGTTTGGGGTTTAGGGTTTATACTTATATTTTAAAGGAGCCCCAAACCCTGTTTGAATTATGAAAGCCCCTACATTGGGGTTCAGTGGTTGGGGTTCATTTTTTGCAGGGCCTCAATCGTGTCTTGGATGCTGAAGCCTAGCTCAAAATCCGTTTGAACTTCGTGCTCGCAGTGCGACGGCTGAATGTACATAGTCATAGCTCGAACCCTGAACTAGAAGTAACTTTCTAAAGCTGGGGCTTGCGTTACGATGCAGGGCTTGGGGCATGTTTGGTTTATTGGGCCGAAAGCCTGAACCCTAAACTTTAAACCCCAAACCTCAAACCCTAAACCCTAAACCCATATCCTAAACACTCAACCCTAAACCCAAACCCCTAAACCCTAAACCCCTAAAACCTAAACCCTAAACTCTAAAACCCTAAACCCCTAAACCAAATCCCACACCCCTAACCCCTAAACCCTAAACCCCAATCCCTAAACTCTAAACCCCTAAACCCCCAAACCCTAAACCTAACCCCTAAACCCCTAAAACCTAAACTCTAAACCTAAACCCCTAAACCCTGAACCCTAAAACCCCAAACCCCCAAAACCTAACCCCAAACCCCCAGGTATGGGCTTCCTACAAGCGAGAGCTCTGCAGCTCGAACCGGGCTGTGGCCGGGTGGCAGCTTCAGAGTCTCGCGGTTTAGGGTTTCAGAGTTTAGGGTTTCAGAGTGTCAGAGTTTAGGGTTTAGGGGCCCGCAATGGAGGTCGCAGAAAATTACGATTAGGAGTGTCTTTTCACGGTTCCAAAAAGCAGGATCCTCCTACTACCGCTACTCCTCCTCCTCCTCCTCCTCCTACTACTACTACTACTACTACTACAACTACTACTACTACTACTCCTGCTACTACTACTACTACTACTACTACTACTACTACTGCGACTTCGGGTCTTTGATATGTTGGGGTCTGCAAACAACCCGAACTCCCATGTGAAATAGGGATTGGGAGTGCCAAGAGCTTGTGCTGGCGTTTCGTTTTTGGGCCAGTGGCAGCAGGTGGCAGAAGTCATCCTGCTCTACATGAAGTCCAACACATGGCATCCACCCGTTTTGCATGTTGTGCACCGGCTGCGGTCGTAATCTTGTTGGACCGTAGTATTTGCAAACCCGCACAGCCAAACGAGAGCTGAAGCCAGGACGTAAAGGGGGCGTAACTCGCTTTCGAGTTCCAGACCCCTAAGCAAAAGGTGGGAGCCTCCATGATGCATGGCATGTGCTTTCAGCATGCCTTCACAAGCCGTAGCCGTAGACAGTTCATGTTAATTCTGGAACCCTGAACCCTAAACCCTACCGAAAGCCGAGACGTAACTGCTAACTGCTAACAAGATGTCATCACATTGGTATGCCTTGGAAGGTCCGGCAGTGTCATCGGATGGGTGCTTCTACATCGCAAAAGCAACTCAACCCTGAGCCCTGTACGCTCTTCAGGGATTAGGTTTGGGTTTTAGCAGTAAACCGCAACCAGAGCACTAGCATTGACCACTTAGTGACCACTTAGAACGCGTGTGTAAAGTAAGCTGCACGGCAATGCGATGCCAGAGTGCCTTTCTGCTGGTAGTGGTCCTGGTCCGATGTGCATTCAGCCTGGACGCCCCGTCGAATTTGGTGATTGTCGGAGGCTTTCCAAAATGTGGCACTTCCCACATCCACCGCGTTCTGGAAGCGCATCCGAACATTGCTTCCTTGGCAAAGCAAATAGGTGCGCTGCCCAATCTGCAAAGGGAATTTGAGGAGGCAATCTTCGTTCTGGCAAATTCGCTGCAAGTTCCATCTGGCCTTCCCTTGGCACAGGCTTGCAATCAGTTTAGCCACGAGCTGCGCACCTTCAAAGAGTGTGGTCGTTTGGCGAGCATGATCAGGGGCTGGTACAATACGTCCATGCCGGCGACACTGGCCGTCACAGACATCTTCTTCTTTGAGAAGGAGGTTGGGCGTTGTTGAAACACAAAACCAGTAGCCGCAAGCCCTGTGTATCTAAAGACTCGAAACCCCAAACAACAACCGCACGCGCACGCACGCGCACGCACGCAAACACAAGCACACACACACACACAGTGTGTGTGTGTGTGTCTCTGTGTGTGCATGTGTGTATATATATATATGTATGTATAATAACAATATATATATATATACACATGGAAATGTGTACACATACTAGTACAAATATACACATATATAATCATACACATATATCGTCATATACGTATGTATGTATGCATGCATGCATGCAAGTAAGTAAGTATGTATGTAAGTACGTAAGTATGTATGTATGTATGTATGTATGTATGTAAGTATGTATGTATGTAGGTATGTAGGTGTGCATGTATGTTTGCTTGTTTGATTGTTTGTTTATTTGCTTGTGTATGCGTGCATGTGTATGTATATGTGTTGACTACATACGTATATGTATACATTTACATATATATATATATGAATACATACAGACATGCACAGACGTGTGTAGCAAGCTTATGTATACTCATACGTGCTTCTTTGTCCACGTATGTATACTTGTTCCAGTAAAGTGGTCCCTAGATGTCCCAAAATCACCCCTCATAGAACCCTTATGGAATTCCAGACAGGCCCTGGTGATCCTTAAAAACAACCATTTAATATTCACCCTAAGCCCTCTAACCCCTTCACCCCTAACCCACAACCCACAAAGCCATGAACCCAAAACCCCAGCCCTTCAACCCCAAACCATAACCGGCTTACCAGATGCTGGTAACCCGCTGGCCGGGTCAAGTCAAGTTGCTCTTCGTGGTGCGCGAGCCAGCAGATTTTTTGTGGGCGGCTTACAACTTCTGGATACTGGCTTCTGGAGTTGAGTATGCGTTTTGTTTTTTGTGGTTCGGTTTTTATAGTTGGGTACGGTGTGGTACGATTTTCTGTGGCGTTGAAGGCGGCGTTTTTTTTGGGGGGTTTTTCTTGGTTTCTGCAGTTGTGCATCTTGTTTGGGGCTCTTTCTAGTTTCTGGATTGAGTTGTTCTTCTGGTCTCGAGCATTGGTGTTTTTTTAAGAGCTGAGCTCTGCGTCTCTTAACAAAAGTAACAAAAGCATCCAGAGGAACACTTAGTCACTCAACCTAAATCCCAAGACCCTGCAGTGAACACAAATCGTACTGTGCAACACCCTCAAATATACCATAACATACGAGAATAACTCTAGTATCCTGTAATCCGCTACTTGGAGGTTCATGGGTAGTTATACGTGGGGTTCTAAGTCCCCTAATATAAGTTATAACTACACTTACCCTACTTCTTACCCCTACTTATAGCTACCCATGAACCTCCAAGTATACTTTTGCAGAATATCCGCCTGGAGCTCGCTACCCAGGGTGTTGACCGGGGAGCCGAACGGCATCCAGGATGATTGGACGGAGAAGGGGCGCCTCGTTTAGGATTCAAGGTTCAGGGGCTTGGCGGGGTTTAGGGGTTCAGGGCTTTAGGGGTGTAGGGGTTTAGGGTTTAGGGGTTTAAGGCGTTTAGGGGTTTAGGCTTCAGGGGTTTAGGGTTTGGGGTTTGGGGTGTAGGGTTTGGGGTCTGTCGTGGCGTAGCGAGTAGGCGCCCGCATCTTGCGAGAAGGGTTGTGTCGAGTGCATCGTACTATGGCGATGAGCTGTGACAGCCAGTCTAGCGACTGAGAATTATTTTCCTTTTTTCTCTCCAACCCTGCACCGTCTAAGGCGGTCAAACCAGAGGGCAGAGGGCAGAGAGGGCAGACAGGGCAGAGGCGGAGGGCAGAGGGCAGTGGCAAAGAACGTGTTCCGGTTCTGGGTATGTGGGTGCTACGCTCCCCATGGCTGTGGAGGGGCGGGTTGGCATATTGGTCGGCTTTTCGATCGGCCGCCCACAGTAGGCGGGCGGCCTATGCCTTGAGATTTTTCAGCTCAATAAAGGGGTGGTTTGTATCCTAGGTAGTATTAGGGAGACCCCTTAAAGGGGACCCTTCTAAACCCTACTTGTGGCTCTCTTAAATGGGACCTTATTGAGAGGGTCTACATCCCCAAGGGTCCCCTTAATCCTAGCTCCCATTGTAAGGGTTGCATATTCCAGGGCTTTGCAGTTTTACCATAGGAAGCTCGAGATTTTAGGGTTTCAGGGGGGGGGGTCGAAGTATAGAACTTGTACTTGTAGCTTCTGGTCTCTTCAGGGCTTGAGCTTAGGGTCTTGTTGTTTAGAGTCGAGGGCTTCGGGTTTAGCGCGCACGGCTTCGCGTTTCGACACCACCTAAGGAAACACGTCCGTAGCCCTGAGCATTTCGACGAGCTGGTATTGGCAGACGGCAAAAATGAGTCTTGGGCGCCCAGGGCCAACAAGGTCACTGGACTGTGGTTCGAACAGATCAAGTTTGTGAAGGATGTCACCACAAACCTCCTGTTCTTGAAGTCTGAGGACGGCTCCATGACTCCATGATCTACCATAGTGTGGGTCTTGGCTTGCGGCTCTGTCGAGCTGCAGTCTGTGCTTTCCAGAGTATAACAGAAAAATGCGAAACCCAAAGTGTCAGCCTTGTTTGCCTACGACCCTAAACCCCTAAACCTCTAAACTCTAAAGCTGAAAACTCGAAGATAACAGTCTCGACTCGAGAGCCCTTGAAGGATTTTACGGACGATTTGGAGGGGATCTTAGCGAAGATGGGCTCGTTCTTCGGAGTGCCAGCCTCGCTATTCCCCGACAAGGCAGTGCGGGTTCAGGGCCCTGGCTTTCGTTTCGGCTTGGGGTTTCGGGTTTTTGGAGTTTTATGCGGCCCCAGACTCGGGACCTCGAAACCTCCGCGCGACAGCATCCCCAAGCCCTGAAACTGAAGCTGGGCAGGAGGGGCGCCTGTCAACCCTAAAGGAAAGCCTATAAACCCTAGTTGAGTGTTGTGCGGCGTCTGTTGCAGGGCTTGGATACAAAAAGCATTGAACATAGTGGACAGCACGCAGGCTTCTCTTGGATTGAGGGGCGGGGGTTTCAGGTATGCGAAACCCTAAACCCTAAACCCTAAACCCTGAACCCTTTCCGAGATCCTTTGCTTTAAAGCTGAGGCTCCAAAGCCCCTGAACATTTAAACTCTCAACCCTACCTAGGCCCTGAAAGACCTGTCTGTTCAGGCTTCCTTATCATGATTTCCTAAAGGAGTAAGGTTTTCAGGAGGTAAAGCCTGGGAGTTGTGAGGCTCCTAGACCGAGCCGTGAGGTGGCGCACACCCACACCAACTCGCAAGAAGTCCTCAATCAACGGGGACCGCAGCAGTTCACCTCGAAGAAGGTGAAGCCCGGGCTGTGTCTCTGCCGAGTCTACTGCTCCCCTATAAGTTCTAAACTTCCTAGTTAGACTTTCAATTAAGCCCAAAGCCTATAAACCCTAATTAGGCCTTAAGCCCTGATGGACGCGTATAGACCCCCCCCTCCACCTGTATAGAACCCTGTTAGACACGTTTTACGGTTTTAAACCCGCAACACTAGACCCCCAAAGCCTAAACACTAAAGTTCACTAAACCCTAGACGATATAAGCCTTAATATAGATCCTGTATACAGTACACCCTCCAACATACGATACAACTCTTAGAGAGACTCTCGCTCTGATGAACCCTAAACCCCTAAAGCCCTACACCCTAAAGAAACCCTACCTGTTGCCGAAAAGACCTACCTTGATAGGGTTCCTTATTACGGCTTTGTATGTGTATACATATATATATATATGTATATGTATATATATATATATATATATTTACATAGATAGATAGATAGATAGACAGATAGATACATAGATAGATAGATATACATATATATATATAGAGAGAGAGTTCCTTAAAAAAAAAGGCAGGTCTGTCGGGGTAACAGGTAAGCCCTAGAAAGGTATGAGATTTCCGGGTGGAGGCCAATGCTTTGCAGCACGAGGCGGGTATGTCGGGAAGCCTGCCTTGGTCTGTGTTTCGTGGTTTGGGTTCAGGTGTTGGGGGTTTGGGATTTAGGGCTTCGGGTTTTGGGATTTGTGGATTTAGAGTTTCAGGTTCTGGGGTTGGGTTGAGGTTTGGGATTTAGGGTTGAGGGTCTATTGCATTGAAGAACGTTCAGCATTTGTCCCTAAACCCTAAACCTTTTGCACTGCCAGGCGCTTCATCTACTCCAAGACACGAGATGTTTGCGAACAGTTGGACTCCTTCGGCGTTCACTACGGCGCCTGCCTGGGAGAGCATGACCACTGTGTGGACCCCTTACCTGACTCACGGGCGACTCCTCCTCCCAGGACCAGGGTTTACGGGTTTAGGGGTCTAGGGTATAGGGCCTAATTTCCATAATAATTACAAAATTTTGAATTTCCATAATAATTACAAAATTTAATAGGGTTTAGGGATATGTAGGGGTCTAGGGTTTAGGGCCTAAGTTTCCCTCTGAGAACTAACATAGGGTTTAGGGGACGCCTCTTGAGGATGAAGCGCTATGGACACTTCACAGGAAGCTTCCAGTTTTTTTTCAGTAGTGCCCTTTTGCCTTTTTTTTTTAAAGGGGTTTAGGGTTTGGGGGTTTAGGGGTTTAGGGGGTTCCCTTAATAAAAGCCAAACAGTAGGAAAAAGGGTACAGTTGTTTGTTAAGGGGCTACTGGGGAGCCTAGGCTTCGGAGCCCCTTCCATCAACGTTCGCAGATCTGGAGCTGCGGCCGCTCAGCTGACCCTGCCATCTTTCCCTAAGGGTCCAAGGGACCCTAATAGTCATCATGTACTTGGGTTACGGATAGTAATTTTTGTAGGTTAGTATTCGGAAGAGTATATGATTATTATGTAGACCCTTAGGGTTTACCAATAAGGGGATACGCATACGTGTTGGAGTTATTACGGTTCTGTAGGTTCTTCAAAGCCCTAGCCACTTTAAGCCCCCCTTGTGGTACAATCGCAGCCTGAACAAGAGCCATTTGGCGACAGCCTAAGCGAAGTACCTTTCAAACTAAAACCCTAAACCCCAAAGCCTAGACCCTAAAACCCTACACCCTAAAAACCCTCAACCCTAAACCCTAAACCCTAACAGCCCCAAAAAACCCTTACAACCCCCGAAACCCCAAAAACCCCAAAGCCTAAAGCCTAAAAGGGGCCCAAGCTCCGAAAGCCCTGAAGCCCTAAAGCTTAGACCCTATATACCCTAAACCCCTAAATCCTAAACCCTAAACCCTATATACCCTAAACCCCTAAACCCTAAACCCTACATACCCAAAACCCGTAAACCCTAGACCTAAACCCTAAACTCTATATAACCCCTAAATCCTGAAGAATGCAAGCCCTGAACCCTGCAGCCAGAACCCAGGCGTCCTTTGCAAGAAGACCTCTGACAACAGCGGTGTCTACGACGTCTACGTCTTCTGAAGACCCGACTTCCACATCGGAGGCTCCTCGCTGGGCAGAGGCAAGAGCATCATTCTTAGGGAGTTGGGTCTTAAGGTGTTTAGGGTTTTAGGTTAGAAGATTCAGGATTTGCTTAGGGATGGGCTTAAGTGTAGGGATATATAGGGTTCATGCAGATTTTAAGCATTTAGGATTTAGATTAGTTTAGGTGCTTACCGGGTTCCTGCCATCAAGCTCTAAGGAACTTCCAAAGGAGGGTCCGGTAGCTCCTACTGGCAGTAAGGAGTTGGGAACCTGCATTCTCTGAAGGCACGTGATTAAGAGCCTTTCGTAACGGAGTGGTCAGATTAAGTTCAGGATTTGGAAGATTTTGTAACGTTGGGGATACCGATTTAGGGGTCCTTGCACTCACGATCCTCCAGTACACCAAAGCGGCAGCCACAAATGCTAAAGCGAGGTAGCTGCACAGCGAACCCTAAACCCAACACCCATCTACGCTCTGAATTCGAATTTCCCAGCCTGAAACCTACGAGCCACTAGCTGCGTGGCCCAGGCGCCCGCGAAGGTAGAGCAGGCTGTTCCGATGCTGCCTTCGACCTGGTTAGGCTCTGCGGATGTTCCTCGACCGGAGCCTGGTCCTAAACACAAGTAATCTAGGGGCCTGAATATTTCGAACAATCGGATAGGGTTTTGGGTACAGAAGACTAGGGTCACAATTAAGACTCTGAGGAACGGTAGTAATTTGTACAGGCTTCTATTCGAGTTTCGGGAAGGTACACTCAACTCGAAACACCAGCCCCGAGTCCCGCTTCCGATTTTGTACCAGGATTAGAAGCATCAACGCAATGAGCAGTGGTGGCTGCATCACTGAGTGGGCAAGAGCCTTGTTGGCGGTGGCTCCCTGTACACACCACGTCAGAAGAGAGCCATCCTGAAATGTGAACATTTTACACGAAACTCAAACCTGCCGATCAAGTACATCGAATAGAAAGCCCAACAGCAACCGCGGAAACATATGTTACAAAGCCATAGTATCGGCGTCGTCGGTCCGTTGTTTCAGCGAAGATACTTGTTCCAGAAATATGTAGAATCGTTGTTAGAAACCATGGAAGCGAACCACCCCCTAACCCCTCTGCACTATGCTATCGTCATGCTGCATGGAAACTTCAACCCCAAATCCTAGAAAAGGTTATGGCAATACCCGTTTTCGTGCTGGGCCTGACCTGCGGTCTGGTCATCAGCCGTCTGATGCGAAGCCATTGAGGTCAGCGGCTCTGGAGGGGTGGGATGCAGCTTGGTCTAGGTTTTTTGGGGTTTAGGATGGTTTAGGGGTTTCCCTTTTTGTTGGTTAAGCTGCCTCTGCCCTACAGCCTGTCCTGAACGCTGACTGCAGCGGCTGGATTTCCTGCCTGGACCTCGCCAGCATGAAGCTCGCCGTCTGCATTGCATTGTGATGTCATGAATAATCACGTTTTCAGCCATTCCCTAAGGCGACCTTGAACTCCTTGAACCTTGTTTTGCTTGTGGGTCTTCCTTCTTGTACACGTCATAGGGACCTACAATAAAAACAAGTTTATGGCAGTTCAATGTATTTCAATATGTTGACAGTGAGAACATAGTTCAGTCCGCTGTAGAACCGTTATGGAACCCCCCGCCTCTAACCCTAAACCACAAAACCCCTAAAACCCTCAACCCCTAAACCCCTAAACCCTTAACCCTAAGCCTCTAACCCTAAAGCCTAAACGCTAGACAAAGGTCGTGAGCACTCCTTGCCATGAGACCCTAAGCTGGTCCGGCCGCCGTCTGAGAAGCTTGAGCCAGAGATCCTGGCTTGGGGGGTTTAGGGCTTTAGGGCTTTAGGGCTTTAGGGTTAGGGGTTCAGGGCTTTAGGGGTTTAGGGTTTTAGGGGTTTAGGGCTTTAGGGTGTTAGGGTTTAGGGTTTAGGCTTGACGGATACTTGGTTGTGTTGACATATCCGTATCTGTCTACGGATGTATACATGGCAACAGCTCGTAGAGCCAGTTGTTTAAGCTAGGGTCGCGCTCTGGATCTAAGACCCTGCATGAGCCCTAAACCCAAAACCCTAAAAGTCCGGTACAACTCCTGCAGACTCCTCGCGCTTTCCCACTGCTCTGTTCAAAGGACCCGGGGCCTTCGTACGTCGACAGTAACAGTGTTGAACGCGAGATAGAACCCTAAACCCTAAACCCTAAACCCAGCCCCAGTCAGGGTACTTGCAACTCTACTTGTACTACCTCATATGTGCCTTCCATCCGCCTTCAATTGTACACAACTGACACTTGCTCCATACGGTCATGCCAAACGAGGCTCTGCAATATGCTTGAAGGTTCCAGGAGTTTAGGATGACGATTGTCAAGCAAGCTGGCTACAGCTATCAAAGCTATAGCTCCCACGAAAGGTACCAATGCCCGCAGGGTGGACGGGCATGAGGCTCGGGCCCGAAATTCCGAAGCTGGAAGCGGGCGGTGGGCTCAAGCTTTCGAGTCCAATACGGGGGCCTTAAAAACTAGTAACCAGGACACTCAGATATGATCTCAAATAATTTGCATGTACCCATAGGCCCCTAAGTAGTTCCTTTTTGTGGTTTATATTGAGAATCCTATAAGGTAATCCCAAAAAGGAACTAGTTAGGGGCCTATGGGTAGGGTCTAATGGAGGGTAGATGGAGGGTCTAGGCTCCTCATTACAACTGTCGTCTAAAAAGCTCTCGAACCCTGTTCTCATTATTGGTAAGACCCTCTACGTTGTGGAATGCTTAAAGAAGCCTTTAAATGAACCCTCCAAGGAAGCCTATTCTGCGCCCGTTAATCCTAGGTAGTATTGGGGAGACGCCTGAAAGGGGACCCTTCTAAACCCTGCTTCTGGCTCTCTTAAAAGGGCCCTTATTAAGAGGGTCTATATCTCCCCAAGATTCCACCTAAAACCCTAAACCCTAAATACTAAACCTAACTCCCAGTTCAGGCCCCGATATTTACGAACCCCGGGCCTTGAAACTGTGGCCCAACGTGGCCCCGGAAGCCGGCCCGGGAGGCCGCTGCAAGATGCTCGGAGCTGCCAAAAGCCCTTTAGGGCTTTAGGGTTTAGAGTTTAGGGTTTTGGGGTTTAGGGTTTAGGGCTTGTTCAGGGTTTAGGGTTTGTTTGGGGTTTAGGGTTTAGGGCTTGGGGTCTTAAGCCGTGAGCCCTAGTATACGAAATTCAGAGAGGACGGCCCTAAACACCCCACAAGATCCTCGACCCTGAACCCTGGTCCCTAAACCAAGTTTGACCCTTGCATGCAAGTCTTTGTTTGTTTGCCAGGTTCTGCTGGCCTTCGCGAGAAGTCTTCGAACACTTCCTAAACTGCAGGTTTTGGAACCCTGTAATGTCCTATAATAACCCTTACGAACTAGTTGAAAAGCCCTCTGTTCATCTCAAAGAGTCAGAGGCCAGGCCGGAGACATTGGGCGCTAGAGACCGGAAGTCGGCACAGGACCATCGAAGAGAAATTAAACCCTAAGCCGTAAGCCGCTAAACCCTCAACCCTAAACCCATAACCCTAAACCCCTAAACCCGTAAACCCTAAGCCCTCAACCCTAAAACCCTGAAACCCTTAGCCCTCAAGCCTCAACTCCTAAAGCCCAAGCCTGTCAGAACCCGAAGCCTCTAAAGCCCCTCAATAACAGCGATGGGTCTCCCGGGGGTTTTCCGAAAGCCGCGAGAACCAGCCTGAACCCAGGCGCCGAGCGGTTTCCGATGCAGACGACATCCCAGACTCAACCACTCAACCCCTAAACCCCTGAGCCCCTAAACCCCTAAACCCCTAAACCCCTAAACCCTCAGCCCTTTTAGAACTTAGCTGTTTGTTGGTGGATTGGTTTGGACTTCAGGGTTTAGGAGCACGGAGGGCTTGAGAGCTCTGTTGTTGAGGGTTTGGGGTTTGGGGGGCTGGAACCCTGAAGCGCCACACACCCAAATCGAAGAGGCATTTCCTATAAAACTCCATTCATAACCTTATTCAAGATGCCCCCAACCCTTAACCCCAATAGCATGGAGGTAGGAATCAATGGTTAGTGAAACTCCCTTCTTGTGCCTTTGTGACTTTGCTATAACGTACTATATTACTGAATCGAGGCCCCTCAAACCCATGCAGAGTTCTCTCCATAACCCAGGCTTCGGGTGCTCCCCTTGACGCCCTTGGGCGAGGCCCGTTTTTTTCTCGATGGCGGGCCTTGGCTTAGGCTTTGGGGTGAGGTTTTTTTTTGGGTATGAAGGCTTTTGGGACTTTAGACAGCAGCTGTGCACTTTCTCCTCGGGCTTAGGTCTTGGAGCATGTTTGGTGGCAGGACCTCAAGGCTTGGTAATAGGATCTTAAACACTCTTCTGATAGGCACCTCACCTTGAACAGGCTTTGCGTTCACGTAGGCCCGGCTTGTCGTTCGAAGTGATCAGTTGATGAGCTGTTGCCTGCATTCCGTGCCTCTCCGTAATCCATGGGTAGAAAATGAATACCTAAACTTTAGCCTAAGCTCTAAACCGGTCTGCCAGTCTGCAGCCCATCGCTGGAAGATGCAGAGCGGAGAGGTAAGCTGAGGCTGAAGAATTGGGCCGGGAGAACAAAAGGAATCCAGCTGAATTCCGCTCCCTCAAAGGCCGAGCCCAAAAGGAGTGGCCGCATGGACGAGAAGCAGATCGTCAAGTCTTGTATATTATAGTGTAGCAAAAATAATCTGATATAATTAGTATCGTATACTATATTATCACGTAATTGCTTGTAGTACAGTCTATAGTGGAGCAATCCCGGACGCCGCTGAGGCGCCCCGGAAGGACCTGCAAACTGACGGACTGATCGTATCTCTTGGACAAGATGAACCCAGGGAGCCCAACACCCCTTAATTAAGGAATATGCCTTAAATTAAAGAGGCCTTCATATTATGATTTTAGGTATATTCCGTAATTAAAGGCTATTGGGCTCTCTGGGAGCTTGCAACCAACAACTAAGGTGGTGTTTGGCATACAAACCACCTAGGGTCTCGAAAGAGCGGGATCCCGTCGGACAGAAATGATGGTGAAATAAGAGTTCTTAAACTGAGGCGAGCCTTTAAAGCACGCATCATAGTATGCCGGATCAGCAAGGCGAAAATGCCACTGAACCCTAATTAATCCCCAGACCCTTAACTGTCAAGGCCTCTGACCCTAAACCCCTAAACCCCCTAAGCCCAGAACCCTGAACCCTGTACTCTAAACCTCAATCCCCAAATCCTAAACCCTAAACCCTTCAACTCTAAACTTCATCAGAACCCTTATCAAGGGATCCCTTAGAACCTTGAAGGGAGCTTTCAATGACCCTCAACGCTTGCTCAGCCGAGATCTGAAAATTCGCCCGCGACCAAAGAGGAAGGGATTATGATACTACTGTTCTTGTTATTATTATTATTACAATAATAATACTTATTATTGTTAGTATTACTACTGGTATTATTGTTTTATTATTTTTATTCATAATATCAATATCATTATTGTTATTCTTCTTCTTACTATGATGATGATGATGATTATTATTATTATTATTGAGCTTTTGTGTTTTGCTGTTTAGGGGTTTCGGGCTTAGGGTGCTGGACAAAGGGTGTAGGGCTTAGGGTTTAGGGGTTTAGT